CAAAGATCACTCAAAAAGAATAATTGTGCTGCTTTCCTAGATGAATCATCAAATACTACACAAGATTTAAGCAACATTTTCAAAATTATTTCAAAATTTATTTTGGCTGAATCCAAAATAAATATATAAATTTCAGATAAAAAGAGAATTTAATGTAAGAGTCATCACTACTATAATTTAGTTTAAAAGAGAACTATCAGGTCACACCAAAATAAGTTTTTCTCAGGCTGGGGGCTGTACCTCAGTGGCAGAACACTTGCCTAGCATGTGTGGGGCAGTGGGTTCGATCCTCAGCACCAAATTAAAAAATAATAATAAAATTTAAAAACAAATAAAATAAAGACATTTTGTCCATCTACAACTACAAAAAAAGAATTTTAAAAAATAAGTTTTTCTCCATTATTTTAACAACTTTGTCATGCATGATTCCTGCCCATGGGAGGCCAGAAGGTTGGAGAAGTCATCCAGTGCCATCCCTAGATGAGACTTCAACAACTTTAACCTGTCTCTAAAGTCTCATTTACCTGTTTGACCTTGACCTTTGTCATTTCAGTATAAGAGAATACTCACCACTTAAGGTCCATTTTAACACTGAACAGGAATAACCATTAAAAATTCATCCATTATGCTGAATCAAGAATGCATGTCTGGGGCTGAGGTTGTGGCTCAGTGGCACAGTGCTTGCCTAACTCTTGCCCTCAGAATAATACCAAGTTGGATAACAAGATGCCATATAAATCAGGAACACTAGTGCACACCTGTCACACCAGCTACTGGGCAGGAGGAGGAGGCAGGAAGATTGCAAACATGAGGCCAGCCTCGGAAACTTAGTGAAACCCTCAGCAACTTAGGGAGACCAGGAATCAAAATAAAAAATAAAAAGGGCTGGGGATGGAGCCCAGTGATAAAACACCATGGGTTCAATTCACAGTACCAAAACCAAACACACAACATGAGAGGATGGGGGTATAGTCCAGTAGTAGAGCAGAAGCTTAGCATGCTTAAGGCCCTAGGTTCAATCTCCAGCACCAAAAAAAACCACCATCAGATACTACCTCACAGCCACCAGTTAATAAAAACATGTGAAATATTGGGTTCAATCATCAGCACCACATATAAATAAATAAAATCAAATAAAGATCTATCAACCACTTAAAAAAAAAATACTAAACAAAAGGGAGAGTGCATGCCTTCCCAGCAACTCAGGAGGCTGAAGCAGGAAGATCACGAGTTCAAAGCCAGCCTCAGCAATTTAATGAGGTCCTAAGCAACTCAGTGAGACCCTGTCTATAAATAAAATATTAAAAAGGGGCTGGGGATGTTGCTCAGGGGTTAAGGCCCCTGGGTTCAATCCCTGGTACATAAAAAAGTGCATGTCTTTAAACCACAGGTTTTAGTTTAAATCATGTGAAACAAGTCTTATTATTCTAGATGTATCAGCCCTTAAAGTTTTTCTCAAATTACCCTGCCCTCACTCCCCAATCCAAGCCTTTTCATTCTCCAGGTTTTAAAATGTATTCTCCTCATCAACTGTGTTATAGTTAGCTCTTTAAGGTATTATACAATTAAGACTCAATGGAAGGCAAAAAACAGAAGAATAAAAAGGAATCTTAGTAACCAACAGTTCACACCCCATCTCACTTTTATAAATGAGTAACTAAGGCAGAGAAAAGACTCTCTGATGGAGGTTAAGCTGTTACTCAGGAAAGTTGGAGAAGAAACTCAGGCTTCCTAACTCTTGCCCTCAGAATAATACCAAGTTGTATAACAAGATGCCATGTAAATCAGGAACACTGGTGCACACCTGTCATCCCAGCTACTGGGCAGGAAGAGGAGGAGGCAGGAGGATTGCAAACATGAGGCCAACCTCAGAAACTTAGTGAAACCCTCAGCAACTTAGGGAGACCCGAAATCAAAATAAAAAATAAAAGGGCTGGGGATGGAGCCCAGTGATAAAACACCATGGAGTTCAATTCACAGTACCAAAATCAAATACACACCATGAGGGGATGGGGGTATAGTCCAGTAGTAGAGCACAAGCTTAGCATGCTTAAGGCCCTAGGTTCAATCTCCAACAACAAAAAAAAACTACCATCAGATAGTACTTCACAGCCACCAGTTAATAAAAACTTAAATATCTGACAACATTAAGTGCTAGCAACGACATGGAACAAGAACTAACATACTATTGATAAAAATTCATATTAGCAAAATCACTATGAAAAATTTAAATAGTGCAACAGACAGAAATCTAAAGCTATTCCCCGAAGATTCCTAGCCTGGTTATTCAATCAAATGTTAACCTGGGTACAATTGTGAAGTGACTATACAGGTAAAATACAAACAGTAAACTATATCATCCAGGTGGGCACAAGCTAATCACAGAATAATACCAAGTTGCCCTCAGAATAATACCAATAATATCAACAAGCCCTGTTAACAGCAGACAATTATCTTCAGCTAGAGGAGGAGAAAGAGATGAGGTAGGATGGGCAATCTAGTAGCTCAGTGGTAGAGTGCATGTTTAGCATGTGTGAGACCCTGGGTTTTAACTCCAGCACACAAAAATAGAAAAGAAAAAAGAGGTTAAGACATTCAAAGCATGAGAAGCAAACAACCAACTGCTTGCTGGCTCTGAAGATAAACTAATGAAAGAGACCACAGGGCAAGGAATATGAGTGGCCTCTAGAAGCTGAGAATAACCACCAGTTAACATCCAGTGAAGAAACAGACCTCAGTCCTACAACCACAGAGAACTGAACTATAAATAAGCTTGGGAGCAGATTCATCTCCAGAGTTTCTAGAAAAGAATACAGTCCTACCAACTAGATCTCAGTCTTATAAAACCCACAGCAGATAATCCAGACAAGTCTACCACACTTCTGACCTCTATGAGACTATGAATTTGTGTTGTCTGAAGCCTCTGAATTTGGGGCAATTTGTTAGGCAAGGTACAGTAGTGCACACCTGTAACCCGTAGTCCCAGTTATTCCAGAGGCTGAAGCGGGAACGTTTTTTGGGCGGTGGAGGGCAGTACTGGGGATTGAACCTATAGCATAGGCAAGTGCTCTACCACTAAGCTACACCCCAGCCCCAGAAGGTTCTCTGAGTCTAGGAGTTCAGGGCAAGCCTGGACAAGATAGCAGGACCCCATCTCAGAAAAACAAAAACACAGATAACCAACACTTGCAGAAAAAATGAAGAAATGTATTAACCTACAACCTAGAAGCTAGACATCTGACTAGATATGACTCTTGTCTCAGTGGCCTGAGTGTACCAGAAGACAAGCACAAGAGTGTTTTCACATCACCAAGCTCCTAAATGAAACTGAGTATAGCAAAAACAAGATTGGTAACAGATAAAATATAAAATGTTATACTGATTGTTTTACATATTCACAGTGAGTAGAATCAGAAGGCCTAAGAACTTCCTCAAAGATTATTTATAACAGAACAGTGTACTGCTTTAGAAAATGTGAAGTTAATCACGTAACTGAAGAACAGGTAGAGTTGGAAAGTTTAAGGGTTTTTTTTTTTTTTAAAAAAAGTCATTTCAAGACTCAAATTTATATTGTTTTCAGAAACTTTAGCATAATTTTTATTTGCTTTCAGATATTTTAAACAATTTACAACCAAAAATATAAACATAAAAACAAATTAGGGGGCTGGGGTTGTAGCAGTGGTATAGCACAAGCCTAGCATGTGTGAAGCACTTGGTTCGAGCCTCAGTACCACATAAAAATAAATAAAAGTACTGTGTCCATCTACATCAAAAAATTTTAAAAGTTAGGAAACTATGCACTGCTCTTAATTTTAAAAAAATCCTGATAATGAATTTTGCCTACCTATAACCTATAATATTCTATTCGTGAAATAGCATATTATTTTCTCCTAAACTGAGTTTTCTCAAAATCCAAGTTGTTGTGCTTAGGGGTTTCAAGATTTAAATAAAAGGTGGTTGTTGGTGGTCCCACCAGGCTAAGGCAGGAGGACCTAGAACCCAGGAGTTCAAGGATAACTTGGACAATATGGTGAGACCCCCGCCTCAAAAGAAATTAGTAAAAGGGCATGTTCACATTATTCTACAACTCTTCTGATTTTAGTTCATATACTTTTTCAGTGTGCATGCTTTTCACAGGATATGTCCTAATCTCTCCACTCCATTCTGTGCCTGAACAATTAAGTCAGCAATGAGGCAGGAGATCTCACTGTTAGAATCAAAAAACCCACTAGGACTGGATTGCAAGAAAAGATGGGAAAAGTAAGGTATTTACTGGAAATGCTGAGGCCCCTTTCCTGTAATATAAGAGATTCAGCAATTGTCTAACTGCATCACATACAAATGAAACCAAGAGAAAAACAACCACACATTCAAAAATTCCACCTTCCACTAGGCTGGTGACCCATGCCTGTAATCCCAGTGGCTCAGGAGGCTAAGGCAGGAGGATCGCAAGTTTGATGTCAGCCTCAATAACTCAGCGATGCCCAAAGCAACTTAGAGAGGCACTGTCTCAAAATAAACAAATAAAAAGGGCTGGGGATGTGGCTCATTGGTTAAGTGCCCCTGGGTTCAATCCCTGATACAAAAAAAAAAAAAAAAAATCACCTTCTGATTGCATCAAATTGACACACAAAACATTTCCACAACGAGGTATAAAAAGTCCAGTTTCAATTTTGGGGCCCCTCCAAATACGGTTCTTTGTAAAAGAAGGTTCCGTTGCATTAAAGAAATATGAAAATAACAACATAAGCCTTTAAGACTCTCCCTAATAAGTTTTCTATTTAAAATTTCATCTACAAAGGCGAAGATCCAAATTTAAAGGGAAATGAAAAGCAACTTTAAAAAAAAAAAACACCTACCTAATGCTTTCCCTGTGGCAGCTTCACCATAAGCGGCTCTCTCTTGAAATCACGTCAGACATGGAAGGTCCTAACAGAGCACTAGTCAAGTCTAACCATCCCAAAAATGTGGAAACTGGCTGAAGAAGAGCTCTGACTTACCCACGGTCTCACAGCCCGTCAGGGGCAGGACAACTCCAGGCCCTCAACGCCACACGTCCTGGCAACCCAAGCTCGGGCCGGCCTCAAGCGCAGACCCGAGTCCCGAACCGGAAGGGCTAACCGCCCAGGGTCGCGCTGCCTCTCCACGGGATGCGCGCTTGGCCCCCGACCCCGGGGCAGAGAAGCGCGCGTGAGGGGCCGACTCTGCCCGCCACCTGTCGCAGACCGGCGTCAGACGGCCACACCCCCTGCCCGGGCCTGGGACGCGGGCCGTCTCCTTGGTGGCGGGCGGCTGTGACTGTGAACCGCGTGGGAGATCCGGGTCTGGAAGCCGCAGGAGTCACCTCAGGTGGGCGCTGAGATTGAGGCGCCGCCCCCACCGCCAACCTGCAGTTCGCGGGAGACCCGGCCGCAGGCGCCTGTTTACACTCCTCTGTGGGAGGACGCTGGCTGACCCGTCACGTGACGCGTGCGTCACGTGCCCTCCCGAGGCGATGGGCGGAGTGGGAGGGGAGAGGCGTTGCCCCGGCAACTGTGGCGCTGTGGGGCGGGGAGCGACGGCGCCGCTGACCCTCCACCAGGAGAAACCACCCGGCCAGAAAGAGGAAGGACCACCCCAGCCCTGGCTCCGTCCTTTAGAGACCCTGGGCCTGACTGCATCTGTTATTAGCATTTTGGAAGAAGAGAATTCGTTCAGTCAACATGATGTGCTTGGTGGAAAGAAATAGAAACTTTCTTACCAGAGCTAGCAAATGAAAGGGGGAGCCAGGAAATAATGAAAATGATTTTGTTTGCATCAACGAACAGATTTTTGCCTGCTTTCACTCCTTCATCTACAGTGGAGGGCTGATGCCCACAGCTCACCCCTTGCAGCGAGAGAAAGGTGGGGTGTGTATGGATCTCCAACTTGTTATATTTTCAGTTTCTTGGGGATTAGTCTTTGTGTAAATAGACATATCTAAATAAATATTTGATTCAGCTTTTGCCCACATTAAACTTCCCTGATTATACATCTCTGTATCTTTAGTGACTGTTTCTACAAACTCCAGTTTTCATAGATCAAACTTCGTAGAAGTTTCGACTACTGCCAATTTTACTCCTTGTTTTAAATTGCACGAAAGACTTTGCATAATTTCTTAGTAAATTCGTGATTTGTAAGCAAATCCCCACAAATATCCCAGAATTGTTTTTGTTTTATTTTGTTTTTGTTTTGTTTTGTCTTGGGTGATCTATTGAATGGCTTATCAAGTTCCTCCCCACAATTCTGATCACTTTGCATACTTGGCTATGTATAGAGCAAAATCTTAGGGTCAAAACAGTGGATTTAAAATATCCTCCAGATTAGTATAACAAAATCAAACCATCATTTCTATAACACAACTGGAATGCACCATAACCAAAAGTAGTAAATGAAATGTTGAATTTTTTCATACACATCTTTTTACTATAGAAAATAGGTTATCAAGGCCAGCTGTCACAACTTATGGACTCTTCTGGCACCAAGAGTTCCAAGAAGGCAGGATTAGTTTCTTCTACTGGTATACTTTATGCCTAAACTATGTCTGGTGAACAAAAAGTTTGATTGAGTGATTTTTAGATGTAGAATCCTGCCATCCTTCTGTAAAAAGTGGCAGAACCTTCATAGTTCCAGGGGCATCTGTGAGTCTTACAGAAGGACTGAGAAGTATTACTTATGCAGACAAGGCTAGAGTGATTCCTGTCTTAACCATTACTACCTAGGCATTTCACTTCAACTTTCTGAGCCTCTTTTCATTTATCCAAAAGAAAAATATCTGCTGGGTAGAGTGGTTCTGAGGTGAAATAAGACAATGCCTGCACAACACTAAAGTGCCCAAGAAGCCAGACCCAGTGGCTCATGCCGTAATCTCAGTGACTCTGGAAGCTGGGGCAGGAAGTTGAAAGTTTGAGGCCAGCCTCAGCAACTTTGACTCTCAGCAATTTAGCAAGACCCAATTTGGCTAAACTAAATAAATAAATAAAGTTCTGGGGATATAGCTTAGTGGAGAGTACCTCTGGATTCAATCTCCAATACCAGAATTAATTAATTAACAAACAAATAAATAAAATTCCCTACCCACACAGCATTCAGTAAATAGTAACCTATACAGTCTTTGGCAAGAAAGTAGTAGTATAAAAATTCAGAGTTCTGAGGGAAAGGAGTCTAACAGTTTGAATGTGTCCAAGTCCTGGGTCCAGATTCTTGTCACCTGGCCTACAGTTGAGGAAGAGATTGCCAACAAGAAAACAAAGAAAAAATGAGAAGAATCCTTTGTGCTTTGAATATAAATCTGCCTTCCAGTAACAAAGTTACTCTTAGGTAACAAGGTATTCAGTACAAGAGGAGTACTGGCTTTAGCCAGGTGTAGTGGCAAATGTCTGTAATCTCAGTGACTCAGGAGGCTGAGGCAGGAGACTCACAAGTTCAAAGCTTAGCCTCAGCAATATAGTGAGGCCCCAAGCAACTTAATGAGACCCTGTCTCAAAATAAAAATTTAAAAATGGCTGGGGATGTTGCTCAGTGGTTAGGTATCCCTGGATTCAATCCCCAGTCCATAAAAAAAAGGAATATTAGCCTTTCAGGAAAAGATTAGTAGGTACAAAGTTTCCAAATCCTTTCTATTTGTGCTCTTGGGGACTCCTAACACATTGTCCTTCCATAACTTATATCACATAAAGAAATTGCCTTCTTCTAATATTTGTGGGATATGGGGGTGATATTCTAAAAAAAAGTCAGGCTTCAGCCAAGTGGCCAGTGATACCCTGAGAATCAGTTATACCCAAATGGTTAAACATATAAACTGTGTTCTAGAGTTTTAGTTATGGTTTCATTGTTAACCACAAAATGCATAGTTATGTATGACATGATACACTGGGAAGTATACAACTCAAATGGCATTTTATCTAAAACAGTGAATATATATATTAGTGTTCCAACTGACATAATGAATGTAAGAAATAATGGAGAACTTGCAAACAAATGAAGAGATGAATACTAACCTGCTATGATATTACAAAGCTATGATGTGGTACAGACAATGTTGAATTCAATTTTCCTGATTCCAAGTCTATAGTCAGCTTTCGATCACTATAACAAGAGAACTTATACCTGAGAACTTATAAAAGTCTTATTTTTGGCTCATGGTTCTGGAGGATCCAGTACAAGATCAGGACATGAGGTGAAGGGAGAGCTTTGGTCTCCCGACAAGGTAATACATCATAGTGAGAACATATGGCAGAGCAAAATCTCCTACTTACATCATAAAAGTAGAGTGGTGGAGGAAGAGGAAGGGGCTGAGGTCATACAATCCCCTTTAAGGACATGCCTATAAAAACCTAAAGACTTCCCACAAGGCTCCACCTCTTGAAGTTTCCACTACATCCCAGTAGAAACACCCTGGTATCAAATCTTTAACACATGGACCTTTGGAGAACACATCTAAATCATAACAAAGTCTAACTTCCTTTTATTTTTTATTAATATCCATGAATATATGACTTTTATCGTGTTTATTATTTCTTTGTTTTTTACTTCCCACACTGACAACAATCTTGTTTCACTTAGTATTTAGCATGCTTTTCAAAGGTAGATCCAGTAGGATTTACAGATTAGATGTGGATATGAAAGACCAAAGTGAAGTTTGAGGTTTGGGGCCTATACAACCAAAAGAATCAAATTGTGGAAATGAATGATTATGTTTAATTTAGGGGTTATGTTTAATTAGGGTTAGGGGAACAGGATCCATAATTTGATTTAAATTTGACATGTTACTTGGACATTCAAATGAAGATTAACAGTTGGTAGCTGGCTAGTAGATTTGGAATTTTGAGGAAGAATGTATAAATTGTGCCAATGGTATGTAAAGCTATAGGATTGAAGGAGATCACACAGAGCAGTAACTTTAATACCTTTGACCTCAAACCAGGATATGAAATACATTTTACATATTGATCAAATAGATGTTTATAACTAGAAGTTTCCAGAAGCATATTTACCCTTCCTGTATGGGATGCAGTATTCCCTTTCTCTTCTACTTATTTCTTTAAACTTTTTTATCCTAATTCAATTGGTTCTTTCTAAACTAGTAACAGTTGTGGCCTACAGTTTAAAAATCATTTATAGTCACTGACCTAGAACATTAATTGCATAACTGCAACAAGAGATCCAAAGGCTAGTCATGTAGCACTATTGAGATAAGACCATGAGCAAAGGAAACTTAGGAAAATTGGGAGGTAACAGGAAAACTGGAGTCTGGAAGGCTAAATGAAGAATATTTCAAACGGGAAGTAACTACCTAAATGTGTCATTTGCTACTGAGAAGTTGGGTAAGATAAATGACCTTTGGATTTGGCAATATAGAAATCATTGAGATCCTGAAAGTAGAGCAATTAAGATACAGTGATGGGATTAAAGGTCTGATTGTAGAGATACTAGATGGTGACAGCATTTTGTAAAGAGAAGCATGGAAATTGGACTATAGTGGACAAGAAAACATTAAGCTTTTCTGGTTCTTATATATTACTATAAGTGGCCTAGTAACAAAGAAATGTTGATGCAGAAGATGGTGGCAACTGTAGGAAGGAAATCTTTGAGTAGGCTGGAGGAGCCACCCTTCACTAAAGTAAACAAGAGGAATAGTGTTGATAAATAAAATGTACAGGCTATTGGTTTAGGCTGAGCTCCTGCACCAGGCCCAAGAAACCAAATCAAAATGGGGTACTCATGCTGTAATTCCATGTCACCAAGCTAAGACTGTCACCATAAGGGAATCCTAGGAGGTCTATTTAGAGGCAAAGGAGATTACTTCTTGCACCTTCCAGATTCTTGACTCAGCACAGAAAATACCTAAAGAACACATCCGATTTTAGCAAAGAGCAAAAGAACTTTAAATAAAGCAAAAAGTGAAGATAGACATTCTCAGAATAGAATGCAGAGCAAAATATGCCTCTGGGAGCTTAAGGTCCAAGTTTTTATTAATGAACATAATTAGATGGAATATGTATGATCTAAAGAACTGGACATTCCTTGGGAAATACTGAACAAGACTATACTTCTCCATTAGATGGTCTGGTCTGGCATGAAGGTTTCATCTTCCTTCAGTGTGTCTGGGACTGATGACCCAATCTAATGTATGGCCCTAGCCTCACAAGGTTAACCATCTCTATGTTTCTGCTTTGCTAAATTCCAGAAAACTTACAGGGAACTGGAAATTTACAAAGTAGTTTATTCAGTTTTTCATACCTTTTAGTCTTTTTCTGTGTCTACACTCAGGCTCTTTTGTTGAGCTCACAAGTTGTCTATAAATTGCCACATTACAACAGGGATGTTTTCTCCTTTGGAGACTCAGTTTTCTCTATATATTCCTAACTTTCTATCTCAAAACCCTAAGTACATATACGAAGACATGAATGGTGTGACTCTACTTTGTGTACAACCAGAGACATGAAAAATTGT